AGTCTGGCCACAGGAAAGTAGATGATCCTTCTGAGACGACAGGGTGCATTTACACCATGCGATACTTCTCAACCATAAACAAGAAGGAAATAATGCCAAGTCTGGCCACAGGAAAGTAGATGATCCTTCTGAGTGAAGTAAGGGAGGCAGGGAGAGACAAGTATCATATGATATCACTTCTAGGTGTAACCTAAAGATGGATTAAAATGAACTTCTTGCCTGGAGACACAGCCTCACAGACTTAGAAAATAAGCTTTCAGTGACTAAGATATAAAGATGTGTGGTGTGAAGAAATGAGCTGCTGCTTCAGAGTAATATATGCACACAACTATTTATAAAATAAATAAATGACCAGGACCCTCTGTGTGACACAGGGAAACATACTCCACACTCTGTAATAACCTATATGGAAAAAACAAACAAACAAACAAAAATATATATATAGACACACATATACATACATCTATGTATTAAGAAAAGTGAAACAAGTTGTGGTATAAGGAACAAGAAAAAAAGCCCACAAGATTGTAATTCACTGATATGCGTGCTAAGTTGCTCGATCGTGTCTGACTCTTTGTGATCCTAGGCCCTGTGGCCCTCCAGCCTCCTCAGTCCATGGAATTCTCCAGGCAAGAATACTGGAGTGGGATTCCCTTCTCCAGGGTATCTTCCTAACCCAGTGATGAAATCCACGTCTCTTTACAGTTCCTGCATTGCCAGACGGATTCTTTACCACCAGTGCCACCTGACTTCAATACAATTGATGGGATAAAAACAGAAACAACGAAAAAGAAATGCTGACTCTACATCCCTCAGGAAATAGTGACCTAGGCTGGTGTCACATACCTGGAGCCTGATTGGCTTGGGTTCCAAGTCTGGAAAGTCCTGGGGCTGAGGGAGCTGGGAGAATGGGGCAGGCAGTGTGCCTCCGAAATGCACCTGGAGTGCCTGTCACCCTCAGCAGAGTGCCAGACCTCCAAATACAGGTGGAATAAATCAAGAGATTGGAATTAACATGTGCATTACTATATATCAAACACATGATCAAAAAGTACCTACTGAATAGCATAGGGAAGTTTATTAACATATTGTAATCACCTGTATGCAAAAAAGAACCCAAAAGAGAACAGATAAACATCTAGGTATTGACATAACTGAATTGGGTTCCTATAAACCTGAAACAAACACATCAGAAATCAACTATGTTCCAATAGAAAAGAACAAGGAAATTGCAGGGAGAAAAAGGCAGTGTGGCCTGAAGAAGTGCTGCCGCCTTGTGGCAGGGTCTGTAACAGCACCATGAAGAGCTGAGCTGCCGGGCATTTCATATTCAGGAGGATCCAGCTTTTTGTACCCGTTCAGTGGCTAAGTCCTGTCTGACTCTTTGCAACCCCACGGAATGCAGTACCCCAGGCATCCCTATCCTTCACTATCTCCCGGAGTTTGCTCGAATTCACGTCCATTGGGTGGAGGATGCCACCCAGTGGGTCATAACCGATGCATCCTCTTCCGCCCACTTCTCCTCCTGCCTTCAATCTTTCCCAGAATCGGGGTCTTTTGCAATTAGTCAGTGCTTCACATCAGGTGGCCAAATTATTGGAGCTTCAGCTTCAGCATCAGTCCTTCCCATGAATATTCAGGACTGATTCCACAAGGAATTTGGCTCCAACACATACAAACCACTTCAGTTCATTTCAGTTCAGTTGCTCCTTCATGTCTGACTCTTTGCGACCCCATGGACTGCAGCATGCCAGGCTTCCTTGTTCATCACCAACTCTCGGAGCTTACTCAAACTCATGTCTATTGAGTCAGTGATGCCATCGAATCATCTTATCCTCTGTCGTCCCCTTCTCCTCCTGCCTTCCATCTTTCCCAACATCAGGGTCTTTTCCATTGAGTCAGTTCTTCACATCAGGTGGCCAAAATATTGAAGTTTCAGCTTCAGCATCAGTCTTTCCAATGAATATTCAGGACTGATTTTCTTTAGGATGGACAGGTTGGGACTCAAGAGTCTCCTCCAACACCACAGGTCAAAAGCATCCATTCTTCAGTGCTCAGCTTTCTTTAATAGTCCATCCATACATGGTTACTGGAAAAACCATAGCTTTGACTAGATGGACCTTTGATGTCAAAGTAATATCTCTGCTTTTTAATATGTTGTCTAGGTTGGTCATAACTTTCTTCCAAGGAGCAAGCGTCTTTTAATTTCATGGCTGCAGTCACCATCTGCGGTGATTTTGGAGCCAACAAACCACTACTACAGCTCATTTGAAAAAAAAAAAAAAACTCAATAAAAATCAGCCAAAGCTCTAAATGCATATTTCTCTAAGACGTCATATAGATGGTCATAAAGTACATGAAAAGATGCTCAGCATCACCAGTTCTTTGAAAAAGGCAAATCAAATGTACAATGCAGTACCACCTCACACTGATCAGAATGGCCACATCAAAAACTCACAACAACAAATTCTGCAGAGGGTGTGAAGAGAAAGGAATCCTCCTACACTGTCGGTGAGAATGTAAATCAGTATACCCAGTAGGGAGAACATTATGGAAGTTCTTTTAAAAACTAAACATAGAAGAACCCAGTGACACGGCAATCCCATACATAGGCATGGTGGTGGTTGTATAGTCGCTAAGTCATGTCGGACTCTTGCGACCCCATGGACCAGGCTTCTCTGTCCATGGGATTCTCCAGACAAGAATACTGGACTGGGTTGCCATTTCCTTCTTCAATACCTAGGAGTAGATACAGAAAAAACAAAATTTTAAAAGATACCTGCACCCCCAAAGATCATGCAGCACTAGGTACAATAGCCAAGACAGGGAAGCAACTTAAGGGTACAAGAACAGATGAATGGATATAGAAAATGGGGTACATAAACACAATGCACAGACATAACACACAATACACATATTGCTCAGACATAAAGAAGAATGAAATAATGCCATTTCCAGTTAGAAGGAAGAAACTAGAAGTGATCATACTAAGTGAAGTAAGTGAGACACGGACAGGCAGATAATACAGAATATCACTTCTGGTGGAATCTAAAAAAATGGATACAAACAAACTCCGTTACAAAAGACAAATTCACAGACTTAGAAACTTATGGATACCAAAATGGAAAGGTGCAGAGAGAGGGGCAGCGAGTAATTAGATGGCACAGATCAATATTTACACCTTAAAATAAGTGCTGTTGTTGTTTAGTCGCTCAGCTGTGTCTGACTCTTTGTGACCCCATGGACTGTAGTCTGCCAGGTTCCTCTGTCCATGGGATTCTCCAGGCAAGAATACTGGAGTGGGTTGCCATTTCCTCTGCCAAGGGATCTTCCCAACCCAGGGATAGAGCCCGTGTCTTCTGAAAGTCTCCTGCATTGCAGGTGGGTTCTTTACCACTGAGCCCAGCAGGGAAGCCATAAAACAGGTGCTGAAGGACCTCTTAATAGTCTCGCAAGTTTGACAGAGCTTTAAATAACACCTGCCCTCAAGAAACGTCCTGGGGAAATTATCAGAAAAGAATACCAAATAGGGCCAAGTTTCAAGAAGCCAGTTTCAAGAGGTAACTTATACTGACAAGGTATAAAATAATAAAAGCACATGGAAAGAAACTCCACATCAATAAGGATTAAATCAATGCCAATCAAAACTACAATAAGGTATCACTTCACACTGGTCACAAGAGCCATCATCAAAAGATCTACAAATAATAAAGATAAAATAAAAAGATCTGCAAAGAATGTACAGAAAATGAAATCCTCCTACAATCTTGGTGGGAATGTAAATGATGAAGCCACTGTGGAAACCAGCGTGGAGTTTCCAAGAAACACAAGTTGCAGAGGTAACATATGGTCCTGCAATCCCACTCATGGACTCAGGTCCACAGAAAATCATTCGAAATGACACCTACACCCTGATTTTCAGGGCAGCACTATTTATAATAAAACATAGAATCCACTGAAATGTCCACTGACAGAAAAATGAGAACTAGATGGCACATCTATACATTGGAATACTACTCAGCCATAAAACAGAACGAAATAAGGATACTGTCAGCAGCATGGATGGACTAAGAAATTATCATACTAGGTGAGGTAAGTCAGAGAGGAAAAACAAGTATCGTGAGTTATCCCATACAGGTGGAATCTATAAATTCATACCAAAGACCTAATGTGCAAAACAGACTCATAGCCTGAGAAAATCAAATTATGATTATCAAAAGAAAGTTAGAAAGGAGGGATAAATTAAGAGTTTAGGATTCAGTATACACCCTAGTATCTTTCAAACTGATAATCAAATAGAACAGTGAACTCTACTGAACAAACTGTAATAATGTATATGAGCAAAAAAAATGGAAAAAGAATAGATATAGCTCTATGTAAAATCAAATCAAGTTCTGTACAACTAAAACTAACAAAACAATGGAAATAAACTTGACTCCAATGTAAAACAAAAATCAAACTACAAATTAAGGGTGCATCTAGGGGACACCAAACAGTGGCGACCCTGTGGACTAGAGAAGGGATGTGCTTTGACATTAATACGACACGACCAAAGGTTTTCACTCACCAGAGCACAGAGCAGCAACCCCCCAAATGTACCTGAGCTCACGTGAATATGACGAGATGAAGAGAAGAAAAAGGACCAAAGGTTAGCCAGGGCAGCAACCTCAATTCAGATGTTGGAAATCTCAGAGGGGACAAGCCACACTGAGGTAGAGAGTAGATATAGGGCTTCTGGGTACAGATTCCTGACCCTTGCAGATGGGGTGAGACCCACATAATCCCCAGGCCATGACCTGGGGACACATGTCCGTAGTCTCCAACATGACTCCACCTGCGGTCACAAGACCCTTGGTTAGGACACCAGTTTCTGCTGGTTGGGCTCCTAACGTGGAAACAAGTGGGTTCCTGCAACCTCCTGAGATGGCAGAAAGAAGTGTAGAGTCAGTCTCCTCTCCCCACATTTGCCCCAGAGAAGTCCTCCTGTTTTTGCTTCGGTCCTACGTGATATGAGCTGTTTTTACAGCTGTCGTGATAATGTCGAACACCCTACCCTGGTTCTGGCAGGCGTGATCGCTTGTCGTCTCACTGAGGTGCCGAGAAAACACCCCAGGCACAGAGCTGGACGCCGAGGGCCAGGTCTGTCTCCGCAGAGTCGGGACGGTCACCCGGAAGGAGGCCGCAGCAGCCTGCCTGGCGCCCGCCGCCTCTCGGCCTGATCCGTTCGCCCTGCAGTCAACCACGCGGGTACACCTGCCCCCGCCTCGCCATGCTCGTGGTGACACGGGATAATTCCCAGGCAGCCCACCTGCGGAGTCTCCAGGAGCCCCAGGGAGGATGAACCCTGAAAGGGTAAAGAGGCAAACAGGCACAGGCCTGTGTAAAGTGAGTACCATAAAGTATTCATTCCTAAACACAAGTGAATCTCACATGTGTTCATCCCTTTCTCTCACCTTTGTGTGTGTGTGGGGGTGGGGGGGTCTCCCAGTACACACGATCGGGACCCACGCAGATGGAGTGAGACTCACACAGCTCCCAGACCTCCCCGCCGGAAGTGTCAGGACACCACGGCTGTGGTCGGCAGGCCCCCGGTGTGTAAACAAACCAGGTCCCTGGGACCTCCTGGGACCCTGGAAAGAAGTGTCGGGTCCGTCTCCTCTCCCTACAATTGTCCCTGAGAAGTCAGGCCTCTCCTGTTTTCACTTGGGTTCCGTGTGATTTTTTTGCTGGTTTGAGAGTTCATGTTAGAATTGAACACGCTGCCTTGGTTGTGGCGGTCTCTTTCTTGCCCCACCAAGATGTTGAGAAAACGTGGGAGAGCTGGGCTGAAAGAAAGGGGCAGCTCGGTTGTTTTCAGAGGAGACAGTCGACCGGAAGGAGGTCACAGCAGCAAACTCACCAGCTGCCCGTGACTGTGTGCCCAACCCCTGTACCCTGGAACCAGCTCACCAGGCATACCAGTCTCCCTCCTCAAACGAAGGTGCTGGTAAACTGGAATAATTACCAAGTAGCCCGCCTGAGGAGTCTCCATGAGCCCCAGGGAGGGGAACCTGACGTGGGGGGAGACTACGAAGCCTACCGCAGTTCTCACCCCTGGGAGGACCATGGAACCCCACTCAGCAGAGAACACAGTTACCCAGAGGAACCCACCTCAGCTCCAGACCCCAGACATCTGAGCGCTGACATTCAGACGCAGGCACGGAGTTTTCCAGGACAGAGGCCAGGCCAGGCCTCTACCCAGGTCTCCATGTCCTAGTGCACATAGAACGCGGTCAGGAGTGAATGTTCTCACCTCAGAAACCATGCAGTCTCATCTAAACATAATCAGTGTAAACAGGACTTGAAAAGTGAAAGTGGTAGTTGGTCAGTCATGTCCAACTGTTTGTGACCCCATGGACTGTAGCCCTCTAAGCTCCTCTGTCCACGGGATTTCCCAGGCAAGAACACTGGGGTGGTTTGCCATTCCCTTCTCCAGGGGATCTTCCTGACCCAGGGATTGAACCCAGGTCTCCTGCATTGCAGGCAGATTCTTTACCATCTGAGCCACAAGGGAAGCCGTTGACAGGACTTAGAGTGGTCTGAATCCACCATGTATGATAGACAGAAGTTGGTCAGGTTTAGACTAGCTTAAAGCTGCTCTCCCAGGAGGCACAGGTCACACACATGCAGCGTCTTGCATCATTGCACAGCGGGCTCACCTGTGTGTGGGAACTAGGATGTACAGTTCTTAAAGAAGTCATCACTGGGCTCCACACTTCACCCACATCAGGAAACTGAAAGAACCTTGGTCATTAAACATTTCAACAGGCAAAACAAAACTGTTACCAACATCTGGCCATGCAGTTGTCAGGATCCAGGGGAAAGCCAGGGATTTCTTACAGTTCAGCCCAGTGTCCTATAAGACAGAGGAAGTGCCCTGATTCCATCACCCCAGGGTTCCAGCAGGAGACAGCCTTCTAGAAAAGGATATTCGTTGTCAGAGTAAAAATGTATTGTTGAAATTGCAAGCACACTGGTTATTATTTGTCAACCTAAAATATTCTTAAAACCTGGCCCCCTTATCTTTGCAGTTCCATTGGTTCCTTTGTGCTCAGGTTTTCAGGGTAGAAATGGCATCATTTCAAGTTAGTTTCTTCTATTTCTGTTATTTGCTATTGTATTAATGAAAGGTCACACTTGAAAAAATATGTAAGAAAATTCCTGCAAAAATTAGTGAGTCAAAGAGCCCATAAGCTGCATGGATTTTGCCTTCTAACAGCTTCAATTTTCTCCCTGAAGAAACCTGATAAAATCGACACCATGATTTTTTCACTTCTCTCTTCAAACTGTGCTAAAATGAAATTGATATTCATATGAACAACTAAGAATTTCTGAGTTTTGAGATGTCACACCAGGGTAACAGGTGCTAAAATAGAATGCTCCTACACTACTAATAGGCAAATCACATCCTTAAAATAAGTTTAGTTTCAAATTGGATTTAACTATGACACTAGATAGTTATACGAAGTATGAACCAAGAGTCTAAATATAGCAGGCAATATGTAAAGACAAATTTGATACTCCATATGTGAGGTTTTTCCTGTAGTCATGTACAGATGTGAGAGTTGGACCATAAAGAAGGCTGAGCAGTGAAGAATTGATGCTTTCAAACTGTGGTGCTAAAGAAGACTTTTGAGAGTCCCTTGGACTGCAAGGAGATCAAACCAGTCATTCCTAAAGGAAATCAACCCTGAATATTCATTGGAAAGACTGATGCTGAACCTGAAGCTCCAATGCTTTGGCCACCTGATACAAAGAACCAACTCATTGGAAAAGACCCTGATGCTGGGAAAGACTGAAGGCAAATGGAAAAGGGGGCAAGGGAGGAAGAGATGTTTAGATGGAATCACCAACTCAATGGACAAGAGTTTGAGCAAACTCCAGGAGATAGTAAAGGACAGGGAATCCTGGCGCACTGCAGTCCATGGGGTCACAAATAGTTGGACACAACTTGGCAACTGAACAACAACAACAGAGTAAATGTTTCTTGTCAGATCTCCAGCAGATACGCGCAAATTGGTTTAGAATACTCTCCAACGCGGAGTATCTCTGAGTCTGGTTAGCTGTGTCACAAGTGCACAAATCAAAAGGTGGTGTATTCATTCCAGGAATGAATAGAATGTTACTTTGAACAGTCTGTTAAACTTACATATAATCCACTTAAGATTTCAAATAATAAAACATGCGTCTGACGTTTACAGCCTCTTGGAAAGCTGTGTTCTATACATGAAAACATTTCCTCTGCCCTTTCTGTTAATGGAGGCTTCCCGGGTGGCTTAGATGGTAAAGAATCTTCCTGCAAAGCAAGAGACCGAGTTCAATCCCTGGGTCAAGAAGGTCCTCTGGAGAAGGGAATGGCAACCCACTCCAGTGTTCTGGCCTGGAAAACTCCATGGACAGAGGAGCCTGGCAGGCTACAGTCCATGGGGTCACAAAGAGTTGGACATAACTGAGTGACTTTCACTTTCTGTTAATAACTTTTCACAGTAATAACACTTTAACTCCTCAGTTGATGATATTATTACCAAGATAAACTTGTCCTCATGGGTGAAGGAGGTGGAGTTGACCCATCGTGATTGCTCTCTGGTCAAATGACTCTCTCAGTTTCTAATCATGTTCCTACATTCAAAATATTTCTTTTTATATCCATCAAAGTCTACTTCTCAGATCTTAATGTACACCAAATAATAAATACTTGGTGAGTTCAGATAATATTAAATACTCTCTCCATAGCTTTTGCCATGTCAAATGAATCAGAACACGGTGAAGCAGGGAAATTTTAAATGATTTATAAGGCCCCTAGAAAAAATAATTAGAAATCCTAGCCTTTATTGGTCTATACAAATGAATTACAATGTGTCTTTTTTATGAAATTGCAAGACATGACTAACTAGAGCTGCAACAAGTTGGAGTTATTCTTGGAATGATTTGAGTTGAATCAGGTTGGATGAGGGATATGAAGATACCGGATGATACACACTTAAGGAGGTATCAACAAGTATGTATCCATAAGTTGATAAGGTATACTTTATAAACAAAGATAAAACATTTAGCCTTTTTTCATTATCTTACCCTTCAGAATTTGCCATCACCACCTGAATCCCCTGTGACCTTGATGGTTTATTGCCACCAGGTTAAAAGTAGTTACAGGAAAGGCAAAGGAGAAAAGGAAAGATATTCCCATTTGAATGCAGAGTTCCAAAGGAGAGCAAGGAGAGATAAGAAAGCCTTCCTCAGCGATCAATGCAAAGAAATAGAGGAAAACAACAGAATGGGAAAGACTAGAGATCTCTTCAAGAAAATTAGAGATACCAAGGGAGTATTTCATGCAAAGATGGGTACAAATAAGGAATCCTATGCACCTAACAGAAGCAGAAGATATAAAGGAGAGGTGGCAAGAATACACAGAAGAACTAAAAAAAGATCTTAATGACCCAGATAACTACAATGATATGATCATTCACCTAGAGCCAGACATCCTGGATGAGAAGTCAAGTGGGCCTTAGGAAGCATCACTATGCACAAAGCTAGTGGAGGTGATGGAATTCCAGTTGAGCTATTTCAAATCCTAAAAGATGATGCCATGAAAGTACTGCACTCAATATGCCAACAAATCTGGAAAACTCAGCAGTGGCCACAGGACTGGAAAAGGTCAGTTTCCATTCCAATCCCAAAGAAGGGCAATGCCAATTGCACTCATTTCACAAGCTAGCAAAGTAATGCTCAAAATTCTCCAACCTAGGCTTCAACAGAATGTGAACCGAGAACTTCCAGATTTCAAGCCAGATTTAGAAAAGGCAGAAGAACCAGAGATCAAATGGCCAACATCTGTTGGATCATAAGAAAAGCAAGAGAATTCCAGAAAAACATCTACTTCTGCTTCACTGACTACACTAAAGTCTTTGACTGTGTGGATCACAACAAACTGTGGAAAATACTTAAAGAGATGGGATTACTAGGCCACCTGACTGCCTCCTGAGAAACCTGTATGCAGGTCAAGAAACAACAGTTAGAATCAGACATGGAACAACAGACTGGTTCCAAATCGGGAAATGAGTACATCAAGGCTGTATATTGTCACCCTGCTTATTTAATTTATATGCAAAGAATATCATGTGAAATGCTGGGCTGGTTGAAGCACAAGCTGGAATCAAGATTTCAGGGAGAATTATCAATAACCTCAGATATGCAGATGACACCACCCTTATGGCAGAAAGTGAAGAGGAACTAAAAGAGCCTCTTGATGAAGGTGAAAGAGGAGAATGAAAAAGCTGGTTTAAAACTCAACATTCAAAAAAATGAAGATCATGGCATCCAGTCCCATCACTTCATGGCAAGTAGATGGGGGAAACAATGGAAACAATGACAGACTTTATTTTATTGGGCTCCAAAATCACTTTACACGGTGACTGAAGCCGTGAAATCAAAAGACGCTTGCTCCTTAGAAGAAAAGCTATGACCAACCTAGGCAGCGTATTAAAATGCAGAGGCATTGCTTTACCAAGAAAGTTTCCTATAGTCAAAGCTATGGTTTTTGCAGTAGTAATGTATGGATGTGAGAGTTGGACTGTAAAGAAGGCTGAATGCCAAAGAATTGGTGCTTTTGAAATTTGTGGTGTTGAGGAAGACTCTTGAGAGTCCCTTGGACTGCAAGGAGATCCAGCCAGTCAGTCCTAAAGGAAAGCAGTCCTAAATATTCATTGGAAGGACTGATGCTGAAGCTGAAGCTCCAATACTTTCGCCACTGAAGCAAAGAATTGACTCATTAGAAAGGTCCCTGAAGCTGGGAAAAAATGAAGGCAGGAGGTAAGGAGACAACTGAGGACAAGATGGCTGGATGGCATCACCGACTCAATGGACATGAGTTTGAGCAAGCTCCGGGAGATGGTTAGGGACAGGGAAGCCTGGCGTGCTGCGGTCCATGGGGCCACAAAGTGTCAGGCACTACTGAGTGACTGAACACCACCAATAGCAACAACAATACCAATATGA